AATATACGAGCGCAGAAAATTTTGAAAAAATTGGAAACGGAATTTCAAGGACATGCTGTATCGAAAGATTTGCCTTAACGAGCTGAACACAATACTGTTTTCGGATTTCGAAGATGTTCATTCTGAAGGAAGTTACGGCTAGTAGAACTTGGAACAGCTTGATTTTTCCAGAGTTTATCAGCTCTTCTATTTCTTTTAAAAGAGAGTCTTCGGCTGCTGTTTAGCGCAGAATAATCTACTAAAAGAGTACTATCGAAGGTGCCCGCCTCCTATGTGTGATGCTTGTTGCGTTACACCCACGCGAAAAGGCGTCCGCATGCAGATTCAAGATTATTGAAAAGAGGATATTGGAGACAACCTGTATACCAAAAGATTTGCCTTGACGAGCTGAATACAATGCTGTTTTCGGATTTTGAATATACTCTTTCGGAACGAAGTTATGGCCCTGCGTAATTTGCGTGATTCACATGAATTTCGCGAAATTTTCGGAATTTCGCGGAATTCCCGGAATGTCGCGGAATTCCCGGAATGTCGCGGAAGTTCGCGGAACTCTCGGAATTTCGCGGAATTCACGGAAATTTTGCACATTCTGAGAGCGGTATTGTACGACATGATCTATGACGCAAACATAAATGGATCAGAACGAATAATGAAAAACTGGAACAAAACATAAAAGCACCATCAAACAGACAAAAAAACTCAAGATGTTCGTATTCTCCGAAATGGCGGCATGCTGTGTCCGGCGCGCACCCTTGCGCGCTTGAAGCAGGCTTGCCGCCGCCATACGAAATACTTGGAGACTACAACTAAGCAAGGAAGAGGGGGTTTAGGGAGATTCAAAAACTCAGTTGTAGGCTTTCTAGTGTAGAACAAGGTTATGTTAAACATGTGAAAAAATTAGAGGGAAGGAAAATATATGATTTTTTCTTTTCACAACACCTCAGGTGACTGTCCAGATGCCTGGAAAGCCACCTAACACCAACTCCGAAAAAATTTGCCATCCTTCAGTTCACATAATTCTTTCATAACTTCGCACATAGTCCTAACTCCCTATTGCCCATTTACACACCAATTTTGGTGTTAATTCATTTTTTCTTTGCTGTAAACAATTCTTTTGTTTATTTCGGGACAGGTTCAAATTCGCGCGCTCAACCGGCGAACATGTTGAAACCGGGAATTTTTTGGTTTTTGCAAATCGATGAGGCAGAAATGACAGTTTGCGTTTTCTGTAGAAGATGGGTTATAGAGGCAGAAAGATTGTGTGGGGAAGGAAAGGGGGGCTGGAGTTTCCGCTCTAACGATATCCCCCTTGCTTTTTATTCCAAAACGATATCCAGATTGCCCCGTAAGCCATCTGTGCCGAACCCTGCTGAGGACTGATATTCGTAGTGGTGTAACTCAGCGAAGAACACACCTGAAAGGCTGTAGTAAGTATGGTTCGGTGGAGCTGTTCCAGTACATTATCATGCGCTGGCGAATGGCGGAGGATCCCTTTTTCATAGAGGAAGATAGACCGTGAATTTTGTTAAAAAATCAATGTCTCTCAAATTTTAGCTACCGTAACCATACAGTAAGACGCTAATTTGCAAGCAGGTGTGTTTCTCGTGATCAGCAGCTGAATAACCTCTATGCGCAAGTTCTCCGAGGATGAACTTTTTGATTTTTTCTCGTTCTAAGCTCTGGTTCGCGACGGATTTTGGCTGAAATATTGATGGTTTTGGATTGACCGAAAACTTCGCCCATAGAGGTCGACCTCGCTATACGAAAATAGTGCTCTTTGTGCAATGTAAGTTCTTTTAGCATGGTTATGCTGAGAGGAATGCTGCGATATTACGCAAGTTAGTGTCGCCCTTTTCGCGTATCTGTTGGACAACTTACCTGCTCCTCTTTGTAATTTGAAATCATTAAAGACAGTGCTGTCAGAGCATGCTTAAGGTAGGTGCCAGGGTAAGCGAATATTTTGTTCAGCTTCGTTCAGCTGCAAAAGGTGCACAGAATTAATGTCTGCTGCATGATCTCTACTGCTGCCAAGGCCTGCTTCAGCTGCAGGTCCCGCGCACAATCAACGTTGATTCTGTGCGCCTTTTGCAGCTGAACGAAGCTGAACAAAACTTTCGCTTACTCTGGCACCTACCTAGGCTAGGCCCTTATCTGTACTAAGCAGTGGTATCAACGCAGAGTACTGCACGTCCTCACAAAAATCGTTCAAAATTTTGAGATCGCATATTTTGACCAAATATCGCCGCGATTGGTTACAGATGAATCTGATTGCAGTTATATTTGTATACATATGTAAATAGATAATTCTTATTCAGCATACTTGCTTACCCCTGTGCCAATTACACATGTAGCTCAAGGTTTGCAAATAATCGATAGAGTCGGCAAAGGTAATTGATTTTGAAAACAAACGTTGTATCCGTAATCAGTATCCACACTCACCTACTTACGCCGTTTCCCAGCCCGTTAGCCAGTGTTTGCAAAAAAATTGATAAATCGATATCGACCGCTCAGATAATCGCCAGGGAAGGCGCCCATGCGAGTTTTGAGCAAGCGGGCATCGTAAAAATAGTTCGCTGATTTCTTGGGGCCCGCTTGCAGAAATTTGAATGTTGACCGATTTTTTTGTCTGTGCGTATATTCCTAACAAAATTGCATCTGTGAACCAATGCAGACCAAACTCTGCACACAACTTGGGGGCCGAGGCGGTATCGTAGAACTACATTTCGTCATCGGTCGATATCGATTTATCAATCTTTTGCAAACACTGGCTAACGGGGTGGGAAACGGCGTAAGTAGGTGTGTGGGGGGTGGAGGACATTAGGTCGCCGAATTTGGAAGAGTCCCGCGCGGATTCCCTGCAGGAACGCGTGTCCGCGCATATACAAGGGTGCGTATTTGTCGCAAATGACCGCGGGGACCGCCCTTTTTCGGCGACCTAATGTCCCCCACCCGGTGTGTGGGTACTGATTACGGATACAACGTTAGTTTTCAAAATCAATTACCTTTGCCGACTCTATCGATTATTTGCAAACCTTGAGCTACATGTGTAATTGGCACAGGGGTAAGCAAGTATACTAAATAAGAATTATCTATTTACATATGTATATAAATATAACTGCAATCAGATTCATCTGTAACCAATCGCGGCGATATTTGGTCAAAATATGCGATCTTAAAATTTTGAACGATTTTTGTGAGGACGTGCGGTCGCAAGCTCACAGTTCGGCGATCAGTACAGATAAGGGCCTAGCCTAGGTAGGTGCCAGAGTAAGCGAAAGTTTTGTTCAGCTTCGTTCAGCTGCAAAAGGCGCACAGAATCAACGTTGATTGTGCGCGGGACCTGCAGCTGAAGCAGGCCTTGGCAGCAGTAGAGATCATGCAGCAGACATTAATTCTGTGCACCTTTTGCAGCTGAACGAAGCTGAACAAAATATTCGCTTACCCTGGCACCTACCTTAAGCATGCTCTGACAGCACTGTCTTTAATGATTTCAAATTACAAAGAGGAGCAGGTAAGTTGTCCAACAGATACGCGAAAAGGGCGACACTAACTTGCGTAATATCGCAGCATTCCTCTCAGCATAACCATGCTAAAAGAACTTACATTGCACAAAGAGCACTATTTTCGTATAGCGAGTTCGACCTCTATGGGCGAAGTTTTCGGTCAATCCAAAACCATCAATATTTCAGCCAAAATCCGTCGCGAACCAGAGCTTAGAACGAGAAAAAATCAAAAAGTTCATCCTCGGAGAACTTGCGCATAGAGGTTATTCAGCTGCTGATCACGAGAAACACACCTGCTTGCAAATTAGCGTCTTACTGTATGGTTACGGTAGCTAAAATTTGAGAGACATTGATTTTTTAACAAAATTCACGGTCTATCTTCCTCTATGAAAAAGGGATCCTCCGCCATTCGCCAGCGCATGATAATGTACTGGAACAGCTCCACCGAACCATACTTACTACAGCCTTTCAGGTGTGTTCTTCGCTGAGTTACACCACTACGAATATCAGTCCTCAACAGGGTTCGGCACAGATGGCTTACGGGGCAATCTGGATATCGTTTTGGAATAAAAAGCAAGGGGGATATCGTTAGAGCGGAAACTCCAGCCCCCCTTTCCTTCCCCACACAATCTTTCTGCCTCTATAACCCATCTTCTACAGAAAACGCAAACTGTCATTTCTGCCTCATCGATTTGCAAAAACCAAAAAATTCCCGGTTTCAACATGTACGCCGGTTGAGCGCGCGAATTCGAACCTGTCCCGAAATAAACAAAAGAATTGTTTACAGCGAAGAAAGAATGAATTAACACCAAAATTGGTGTGTAGATGGGCAATAGGGAATTAGAACTATGTGCGAAGTTATGAAAGAATTATGTGAACTGAAGGGTGGCAAACTTTTTTTGGAGTTAGGTGGCTTGGTCCTCACACAAAAATCGAGCAGACAAAGCGCAATAGTAAGAGAGTGTAGTATATCATAAAATTAATTAAAATTGACGAGCTGAACATCAAGCTTTCTTCGGTTTATATTTTCTGCAATCTGAAGGAAGTTATGAAGAAAAAACGAAAAAAAACGCAGATCGTCAGTTTTTGCGTTTTCTGTCAAATAATTAGTGTGGGTATTGTACGTTATAGACTGCCGCGTGAACTGCTAAATTAACTCCTCTTTTCTCGTTTTACGTAAGACCCCGTACCATGGACCTACTGCGACGTTTCAAAAAAGCTATTAACATGCGAAACCAATGTCTTTGTCGTGATCAGCATGTCAGATAACCTACCAACGCAAAATTTCAGCCAAATGTGTATGTTCTATAACTTTCCTCGTATACCATAGGCCTACTACCCTCACTGCGACGTCAGGATTTTGCAGCTGTGACTACGTTTGTAGTTTACGTCATTACCTACATAATGGCAAAATTTGAGTGCATCATTTGCGCAGAGAAAGAAGTTATAAAAGTAGTTGCAAAACTTAGCTTAACAACATAATAATTACACATACAGATCCAACAGAGCCTGAATACCTCTACAACAAAATCAAAGTGTTCTGCTGGGTTGCAACCCATCCAGTAAATCATGAAACGAAAGCTCGAGCGGTCATGGTATTTGTTCCTTGAAAAAAAAACTGCGGTAGTGCGGAAGTAGTATAGGAAACATGGGGTCCATCGTGCCATCGAATCCTGTTTGTCTCCAATGAAACGGATGAGAACTTGCCAATTTTGGTTGTAAAGGCGAACGAGACTCGAAAGGAGCTATGGTTGAAAAGCAGCGAAGCATTCAAATGGATATATAATAATGTTTTGGTCTGTCTTCGTGATGTAGACGCGATGGGTTTTTTGTTCTGTATAAAATCTAGGATGATTACGACTGGTTTCTCAAAGCTGACGACGACACGTACGTGCATATGGATAACCTTCGAGCGTTATTAGCGGTGATTTCATGTATTTCTGAGTGCGTAACCAAAAATTGTCTTTTCTAAGAGCTATTCACCATACGATGCTTTTTCAATTGGCCATCAGTTCAAGAATGGGAGTGATTTTGCAACATATCACAGCGGTGGTGCTGGCTACGTTCTCAGCAGGGAAGCGGTGAGAAGGTAGACATACGCTAAAGCATAGTAGAAATTACGTAAAGTGACTGACTGGGCGCTTTATAACTTTTAATGCTAATTAAGGCTAGTAAGCAAAGGATTTTCCAAGCTTAGCAGTTGTGACAAGCACAAAGCACATGAGGATATGTTTATCGGGCATTGCCTGAGTGAGCTCAACGTCACCGTAGTTGATGGTTGTGATGAGAACGGTGCATACAGGCAAGATATTTTACCTCTTTTACGTCGGCAGAGATGAGTGACCCTTTATAATGGGAGTGATGCGAGCTCGTGCAGCTCGAGTCCCCCAAAACCGCCTCGCTTGGGCTCTGCACCTCTTTCGTAAAGCACTCTCTTATCGTTTTCCCACCTGAGCGGGGAAATAGCCGAGCTTCAATCGCTAATTTAGCGCGTAAAAATATTAAGAGGGCAGGCTAAGGAAAGAGGTGCAGAGCGCAGGCGTGGCGACCGCACGCTGCCCAGCCGCACGGGACCCCATCACTCCTAATGATAAATAAAGACGCAGTATTGCTTACTCTTCGCTCTCCTCTCAGGTATTCCAGCCGTGCAAGCGGCCTTTATTTGAAAACTTCCGCACAAACGGAAGTTTTCAAATTAAGGCCGCTCAACCGGCTGGCGATCTTGCCATGTAACGGGCCGGCAATAGATTTGCCAACACGAGCGGCCAGCAATGCGGCCAACCGAAAGCCCAGAAATACCATGCGGTCATACGTCGTGCGCCAAACAATACTTACGTGAGATAAGACGCAGTGATTAGGCTGTAACGCTAATAGTCAAAATTAGCATCGACCCTTGGTATCGCGACTGGAAAGGCTCAAATGAACGCCATTGGAGTCAATCAAAATAATCATAGAGGGTGCGGCTTCGCTTTATTGGAACTTGGACCGACGCTGCAGCGGCGTCGGATAATATCAATCCACATTTCCGATTCTGTGAACAAGTAGGAAGACGAGGATTATTGGGGACTAGCTGGCTTACCCGGCTCCGCCGTATCCGGACCAAACTTGGCACACATACACTTCGGGCCCCGGCGGGTGTCACAGTCCACTTTTCGTTATCGATCGATGTCGATTTTACCGATTTTTATCGATTTTTTGCAGAGTTCACCTACAGGGCTAGGAGTTGGCACAGGGGGGGAAGTGAGCATGGGGATTCCGAATACAATATTAGTTTTCAGAATTATCGATTACTTTTATTGATTTTATCGATTTTTTGTAAATTTTGACATGCGAGGCTGGGATTTTGCACAGGGGGTAATCGAGCATGCTGATTACGAACACAATATTAGTTTTCAGGATCGTCCATTACTTTTATCGATTTTATCGATTTTTTGTAAAGTTTGACCTGCGGGGCTGGGAGTTTGCACAGGGGGTAATCGAGCATGCAGATTACGAATACAATATTAGTTTTCAAGATCGTCCATTACTTTTATCGATTTTATCGATTTTTTGAAAATTTGAGCTAGGGGGCTGGAATTTGGCACAGGGGTGTAATCGAGCATGCTGATCACCCCCCTTGGGGATGATCAGCATGCTCGATTACCCCCTGTGCCAACTCCCAACCCCTTAGCTCAAACTTTGCAAAAAATCGATAAAATCGATAAAAGTAATCGATAATCCCGAAAACCAATATTGTATTCGGAATCTCCATGCTCGATTACCCCCCTGTGCGAACTCCCAGCCCCGTAGCTCAAACTTTGCCAAAAAATCGATAAAATCGATAAAAGTAATCGATAATCCTGAAAACCAATATTGTATTCGGAATCCCTATGCTCGATTACCCCCTGTGCCAACTCCCAGCCCGTAGCTCAAACTTTGCAAAAAAATCGATAAAATCGATAAAAGTAATCGATAATCCTGAAAACCAATATTGTATTCGGAATCCCCATGCTCGATTACCCCCCTGTGCCAACTCCCATCCCCGTGGGTGAACTCTGCAAAAAAATCGATAAAAATCGATAAAATCGATATCGATCAATGACGAAAAGTAGCCTATGACACCCGCCGGGGACCGAAGTGTATGTGTGCCAAGTTTGGTCCGGATCGGTTCAGAAATGGAATTTTCTATTCGGAACATACGTACACACATACATACATACATACATACATACAGACAAACAGACATTCAGCTTTATATATAAGATTGGTTATTAACCCACATAACATCCCAGCGGTATGCGAGCGGCCAAACTTCCGGGCAGGCAATAACCGTGCGTGCGCCCCACCTTAGCAGTACGATCGGCCTCGCAGACACCAACGAGCGATTGTATGGTCTATAGTGGGGCAGCCCGGGGAAACGTTCAAGAGGTGCAATTTATCCACCTGTCACCACTCAAAACTCCAATTCAGTGTTATGCGAGTCTTCTAAAAGTACCAGACAAAGTACGTTAGCTTAGTAGCTGTCTGAGGTTACCACCTGCCGAATTTGACGGCTTTTGCTGGAAAAAACGGGCCGAAATATTTATAAATTTTCTTAACTGCATTTTCATGGATTTTTGATCTTCACAATTACTGTTTCGAATTGATTCCAAGGTATTAAGATTGAACAACCCATGCATCTATCTTACATATGTCCTTCTAAAATTCAAATATAGTCAGAAAGTTATAAAATTACTATGCACTAATTGGCGTCCATCTGGCAATAAATTCGCGCCTCTTGACATACACCCACAGCCCGCACGTTGCGAATCTCTGAGCTGTTCCCCTTGACCTGCGTCTCTGACCGCGGCACGCATTGCTAATGTGTTCGCAACAGTAGTCATTGAGATGTTGTTGCATGTTGTCATGTCATCGTTAACCTATGCGTGCCGTAGGTCAGAGATGCAGAGCAGGGATAATAGCAGCAACCATAAAGTAAACGATAACGTTGTAACAAGATTTATGTGAGCCTGACCATTACAGTCCGCGGTAGTTCAAGGTTGACGCAAAAAACTTATTCGTACGTAGCTATCTAATACGTGAATACCAAGGATTTACACAATTTATGCCTGCTTGATGTCATGATGAAAAACATAAATATACCAGCTGGTATACCCGGCCCTGTAAATGCAGTGTAGTATAGTTAGAACGACCGAAAAAATTCGTCGAACGAATGAATTTCGAATAGTCGGCTTTTGAAAAATATTCGAACGAACGAATATTATTCGATCTGTAATTTTCAGATTATTCGAATTCGAATATTCGAATAATGCTACATTTTAAAATTCGAATGAACGAATATTCGAATAAATGGGGTTGGTCGAACATTCGACTATTCGAATAATCGAATAATTACATATAGTCGAATATTCGACTATTCGAATAATCGAATAATTACATATGATCGAATATTCGACTATTCGAACAATTCGAATAATCTAACACTTCAAAACAATGCTGGTTTTTTCTTTGTTGCGGTTTTCTGCAAAAGATTAATCGCTAATTTGATCTTTGTAGCTGATAATTATATGTGTAGCAAGTGGTAGGAAGACTTCGTTATTGTCGTTGGTCAGGGTTCCACTTGAGAAACAGAAGAACTTCACCCAAACATGTAGTTCGAGGTGTTTGTTCATGGTCTTTTAAGATGGCTACTAAGATACTTAGTAATCGTTTCAAATCCGCATTTATTTTTCCTCAGAAGTTTCTCCCGAAGCTACACAGAACTTTTTCCCAAAGCTGAAGATTTAACATGGAAAACATTTTACATTAGGTAGTTCTTTGTAATTTAATGGTAATAGTCAGCATTGCGCTAGTTCTAAGACTAGCACTGGAGGAGCACGAGGAAGGCCTACAGTAATAGAATACAGGGTGTCCCAAAAAAATGTGAACACTGTTTGATTGTTAATAACTCCCTTGCTTTCATGTCTTTCGCCGAGCTTGAGTGACCATTCTATAGAGCGAGGTTCAACTTAGATTTGTAGCATGGGTTGAATTACCGATCTCTTTTCGTTACTGTAGGATTACGGTAGAAATTTCGACAAGGATTTTGGGCCATTGGAGGCCATATTCTGCCTCGGAACAAAGCCAAACAAGCCAAAAACTTTTATACCATGGTAATGGAGGACGCTGATTTCGAATATGAAATTCCCACTTTACTGTGATGCTTCTTTCCAAGGTTATCCTAGGTAAACCGTAATAACTGAATTTCCAGCATCTGTCAGAAATGTGACTACACCGTCAAAAAAGCTAAAAACACCCGTAAAAAGCTGCTTAATGGAATCAGCGTGCACGAAAACCCTAGTACACGATTTTTCAGATTTTTTGAAAAAACTTTTGTCAAATGGCATATTTCGCAGTAGATCCACATGCTAGAAGTTCATACCATAATCCTACAGTAACGAACAGCGATCGGTGATTCGCTCCATACTACAAATCTAAGTTGAACCTCGCTCCACATAATGATGCCTCAAGCTCGGCGAAAGACGTGAAAGCAACGGAGTTATTAACGATCAAACAGTGTTCACATTTTTTTGGGACACCCTGTATATGAACCTCTGCTGTTGTACCGAAAGTTTTGTCCGTTTTTTCAAATTAGTATCAAACCACGCACAATAAAGACCTGAATGAGTTTCAGCATTCGATGCAGCTTTTCCTTCTCTTTTCTTAAGCATACACTTCCGAACTACAATCTTGTATGCTTTCTTTGACAATTGCCAAAATTCTCCATCCGTCAATTTTATCTGCTCAAAGTTAGGCTACTTTTTTTGAATTTCATTACAAAGTTTCGGAAAGGACTAATATGGATCAAACAGAGCAATTCTCGGAATACAGGGTAATATTTCAGATTCTCTTAATTTGCTGTTTTAACTTAAAAAACATTATATCTTCGGAAGTCTCGATTTCTGGCAAATTCATGAAACACGCAACTGCAGCAAATACACGAAAGCTTTTGAAACTTTTGCGAATTGAAATATGGTTCTTATCAAACATTATTTACGCTACATAAGCAAGTTTGATTTGCTTTGAAAAGTAGCTTTTTGGAATTTTCGATACTTTTACGTGGTAAACGTAATCAAAAAGGCGCAGTTTTCATCAAACAAATAATTATAACGAGCTTGGTAAACATGGCCCATGTAATCTATTAGGTTGTCCGGAAATTAATGCAGGTTTTGAATTCCAACCGCGATAAGTCATACACTTCTCATTTCTAAGTAGGTTGCAAGGTACCGTTCGATAGAGCAAAGCAAGCTCTACAAGACGGCAGTCACGATTTAGCAACAGCTC